TTGTAGAACTAGCAAGTGCTTAGTGAAGTAAAAAGTTTAAAAATGCAAGTGATGGATTTTAAATATACAATAGGCACTTTGTAATCGTGTTGTTTTAATGCAAAAGGAAAATCTGCTCTATTTTTCTTTCATGTAGATTTTCTCTTTTTAGTGAATGGCTATAATAATAGATAGTAGAGGTTTTCAAAAGCTGTTGATTCATTAGGGACTCTGACAAGATGGTTTTTGAGCGTTTGCAAAGGGAATTTGAAGCTGCCCGAGCTTCTCAAACTCAAGGTAGTTTTAGATAAATACTTTGAGCACTGTATTTTTTAACTGTTCATAAAGATTTTATAAGTACTTTTGGTGGCTGCCATTGTGTGCTTCTTGTTACCCTGTAGCGGTGTATCATTGGCTCATGATTTTCCATTCATCATCTATGATTTGTATATCTTTTTTTTATACGTTTTGAAATAATTGAATTAAAATCTACTGCCAAGCAAGGACGAAACTGTTAGATATGTAAGTCATACAATGATAGGGAAACATATGTGCATTAACCTGCTAAGATGTCAACATAGGGGTGAAGCCCACTAAAAAATATAGGAAGAGAAAAAAAAGGATCTTGGAGAAACTCTACCCTTATGTAATAGTTTCGTGATCCAAATTTCAACCTTTTTTCAGATGCCAAAAGGCTGGAAATGCCTGTTTTGGAGAATAGATGCTGAGACAAAATTTCCACCTTTTTCATGTGTAATAATATCTTGCCACTTCTTTTTGTCAGCCACTAAGTAGAAAGTAGAAAGTAGAAAGTAGTAATGATGCTATATTGGATATGGCAGTGAATCCTTACTCGTCTTTATTGAAGATTGAAGGGAAACACCAAACATGTTTGTTTGCCCACTAGGAACTTATTTTCAACATATGAGTTCTGGGAGCCTAATATTTTTCTGGAATGTGAGTTGTAGATCCCATATTTTCTTAAACACTGGCAAAGTTGGTAATTCTAGAAAAAATGACTTATGAAAACTGTTTTTGTTACTTAAAATGAATAATCTGGAATGTTGGTCAACTTGCCAATAATGAGAACTCATGGCGATAAAGAACTTACAAATTATTACACCATTTCTTTAATTCAAGGACCTTAGAGAAAACCCACTGAAGCCGTGTTGGTGTTTTGCTTAAAAAAGGGACATTTGATACGAAAAGAATGATCAGTATTTTTATGGAGATCCTGTTAAATATGTTACATGAAGACTTTCCTAGTTTGGATTCTTGATTAGGAAAAGTAAATGCAGTTTATTTTTTTGTTCTCTTGTATTTTATGTTATTTCTTTAGTTGTTTCTACTTAAATTAAATTAGTTAAAACCCTATATAAAAGGGGCTTAATTGTTGTATTTTCCTCGTCTTCGATAAATTGAATAAACACCTTCCCTCTCTAATTTCCTCCTCTCTCTTCTCTCTCGTCTCTGTCTTTCTTTTTGTTTCCTCTCCTCTCCTCTTCTTGTCTTTCTCTCTTTCTTTTTCTCCTCTCTCCCTTCCCCTTCTTCTACAATTCTAGTTCTTGTCCGATTATGTCTGTCGGCATTTTTCTTTTCAACTCTTCTTCCAGAAAATAAGAGTTGAGAAGATTACATTTCTTATTATTGTAATATTAGTCCTTAGATTCCTTAAAAAATGATTTCTCTTATCACCGCTCACTTGTATGAATTTTTTTTCTTAACGCTCTTATCTTGATGTGATTTGTTGTGTCGACTTCATTAAAGTCATGATTTCCATGTATGTTTGAATATGTATAAGATTAAGATACAAAATATATTTGCATTTTCCTTTTACTATTTGATACTATAATTAAATTTTCAAACTGTTAAACTGTAAGGTATTGGAATATATATCTTTTCGATAATATATTCGCACAAGTTATTTTGATTTCACGAGATTGTTGATTATTAAATGCATATCAACTTCTTCTGGGGTTTGTTCCTAGTTCTGGCACTTATACCTCAACTGAAAATTGTGTTCATTTTTAGGCCTGTTATTGGTTATATTCTGAATATTCTTATATGCTTTTGCTAGCCTCTTGAATTGCTTCTTACTTGGTGGATAACTTACCTGGAATTCCATTAGAGTACCGTTATTTCACACTTCAAATATCATCTACTTGTTAGTTTTGTTAAGATGTTAATTATTTTGCAGAAGTATGGTTAGATGGTGAGCAATGGAATGATGGTTTATTAGCTACAGTGAGGGAGCGGGTATGATTTTATTCAATTAGTTTACTAGTTTTAGTAATTATTCTTTTCATTATCCATGGAGATTAGAGGGGGTGAGAATTCACTTGAAATTGCTTTTGTTTGATATTCCTATAGAAGAACACCCATTTTTGAATTTCATTGCGAAATTGGTGGAAACTTTTGTTTTCCTCTCCGTTTTCTCACGTGCGGCTTTCTGTTCTCTTCATACAAGTTTACACATTCAGAGTCAGACTATGTTGATATTTATGGCAGGTTCACATGGAGGCTGAAAGAAAGGCATCTCAATTGTCAGGGGATACAACTGCATTGCCGGTACTTCCTTATGAAAAGATAACTTATAGAGTTGGAAATAAGGTATATTATGATTGTTAGGAATTTATACTTGTTATTTCTTAATAAATCCCAAAATATGTAGGACTTCATTTTTGGGTTCCCTGTGTCATATTGAGATGGTATTCTTCTATTTTTCTTGTATTGAAGAAAGAGAAGTGTAGAAAAATTTCAACCAACTTCTACCCATTTAATATTGGTCATGCACCAATTACTTAGTATATATGATAAAGTGAGATTGTCCTTATCGATTTGATCAACAATTGCTGGTTAAAGAACTAAGGGCGCGTTTGATTGCGAGTATGAAATTTGCATGGAAAGAAAATAAATTTTAGGTAATTCAATTGCCTGAAACTTATTTGTATGGAAATTATTATTTAAATGTGTTTGATTGATTTAGTTTTCAATCTAAAAAATATTATACTTATCTATTTTTTATTGGTGTGTAGATGAGAGAGAGTTGATAGATAAGAGAGAGAAAGAGAGAATGAATTACTTGGAAAATAAAAATCATCCCTCTTCAAAGAAAATATTTTCCTTGTTTTTGAGGAAAATATGGTCCCATGACCAAAATTTGGAAAATATTGTCACCCCAAAAGCAGAAATTTGAGAAGAAAAATGACATTTTTCATGGAAAATAAAGCCAATCAAACACACTCTAAGAGTAATTCTGAGTTGTAGTATTCGTACCTAGTACTTTCCATAGCTTAGGCCTTAGAGTGAAAATAGTTTCTTGGTTCTTGAATGGCATAAGCATGTTGATCTTTTGATCACCTCTGGAACACTTGACATTCACTGGTCTAAGAATTCAGCATTACCTGCTGCCTTTATTATTAACCCTTATGCACATCCACTCACTAGTTGGATTTCTCAGGTTCCCCTCGTCTTAAGAGGGCACTCTTCTTGATTTCTTGGTTGGTCTATTGAATACTATTCTGAACCGAATCCAATACGATGGAAAGAAGTAATAGTCTTGTGCATGCTACAGTGGCACACTTAAGTATCCATTTCCTGCATGGTGTGCCCAGGGGTGAAAGACTAGCAGTGCTATCTGTTTCTTGTGTGGGGGCACCCATGAGATAGTTACTTCAACCAAATTCATCTTATTGGAAATGTTGAATTTATTTCTTTTAACTGTAGTATCTTGGTGCACAATTGATTTAGAATACAGTGTTTGCTGGTAGACTTGGAGGCTTATCCGAGCCTTTGAATTAATTCAGGTGGACCCGAATTAAAATTATAAGCCCACAATTAAATTTGAATAATAACGGTAGGGTTTAGATGACCAAATTTGCATTTTATCTTCTCAGATTTTATATTATACATTGGGACCATTGACAAAATCAATGAAATTATAAGCCAACGTGCTTCTTAATTACTAATGAGGATCCCATGTTATGTGGGCTGTCACAACAATGTGAAAGTGGGACACTGTTGTGTGACCACTTTAAAATTCTCTCGTGAAGGCACCCTATGATGGATTTTGTTGGAAATATAAAAGCTTGTTTTGCTAAGCTACTTTGAAGTAATTTTTTTTATTGTGAACATGTTTAGTGGGATAAGTGTTACTTTCAATTTAAGTACTTTTTCCAACTTTAACTAACAAATAAATAAAATTTAAGACCAACTTATTTACCATTAGTGAACTTACAGTAAATTATCAAGCTTAGAACGTGCTTCTTAATTACTAATGAGGATCCCATGTTATGTGGGCTGTCACAACAATGTGAAAGTGGGACACTGTTGTGTGACCACTTTAAAATTCTCTCGTGAAGGCACCCTATGATGGATTTTGTTGGAAATATAAAAGCTTGTTTTGCTAAGCTACTTTGAAGTAATTTTTTTTATTGTGAACATGTTTAGTGGGATAAGTGTTACTTTCAATTTAAGTACTTTTTCCAACTTTAACTAACAAATAAATAAAATTTAAGACCAACTTATTTACCATTAGTGAACTTACAGTAAATTATCAAGCTTAGACACCATTCGGTGCTGATCAGCCGTACTAAGAATAGTGCTTTAGGAATAGCGGGAGAAGAAGGACGAGTACGATGAGGAAAATGAGAAAAAAGTGCGTCATATTATACAATATGATGTAAGATTCTTGTAGCGATAAATTTTATTGAATTATAGATACGAGACATGTTTTTATAGACCTAGAGGACTTATCCTACAGGGGTTGTGACTTCAAATGGGAAATCTCAATCGTGCTCAGGGGCGGAACCATTAAGGGTCCAATGGAGGCAGTCGCCCCCACTGAAAATTTCAAATACCTTTAGAAAAAAAACCTAAGATAAACATATGGCAATAGGTCTGGTGGTGTGGTTCTTGCTTTGGATGTAGGTAGTTCTTGAGTTCGATTCTCAAAGTGCTCTTTTATTATTCTTCTTTTATTTTGTTTTTGGTTCTCTCTCTCTCTCTTTGTTTTTTTTTTGGTTCTCGCCCCCACTGAACAATAATTCCGAGTCCGCCCCTGATCGTGCTAGTGTAGTCTTGTTCTTGGTTCAAGTCTTTGTTAAAAATAAAATAAGACCCCAAAGATGACACAGTCTTGTTCCTAGTTCAAGTCTTTGTTAAAAATAAAATAAGACCCCAAAGATGACACAGTCTTGTTCCTAGTTCAAGTCTTTGTTAAAAATAAAATAAGACCCCAAAGATGACACAGTCTTGTTCCTAGTTCAAGTCTTTGTTAAAAATAAAATAAGACCCCAAAGATGACACAGTCTTGTTCCTAGTTCAAGTCTTTGTTAAAAATAAAATAAGACCCAAAAGATGACATGGGTTTAAATATACCTTACGGCCTTCTCCTACTACAAGGTTTATAACTCGAAATGATGGAAAACTTCGATTGCAAAAGATAATTCTAGACCAACAACTATATAAAAGCTTGTTTGGCACAATTTTTTCTTTTCTTTTTCTTTTTTTTTTTCCTAGGGAAAAATGATTTTCTTTTTTGGAGAACATGTGGTAAAAAGGTGGGGAAAAGTATGGGTCCCATAGAATGTGCGGTTGAAAATGATTTTGAGGAAAAATAATTTTAAAAAAATCTTGGACAAACAAGCCTTAAATCTTAATAATATTAGAATTTCAGATTTGTCCTTTGTCTTGTGCATCTGTTTTGCACAAGACCCTGTTGAAGTTTAGGTAAATGGCTGCAATATAAATGATTATGAGCAACATGATTGACTTCTTATTAATGCATTCTTTATGAGCAGACGATTTGCTGTTTGGAAGGAGCCAGGATTGGCATTCAATATGAGACATCATTTGCAGGTAATTACAAACTTTCTGATTTCATAATGGTATTGTTAACTAATGAAAAATATCCGGTGCTTCTGAAAGTATATAACAATTTTTTCTTTTATAAAATTTCTGATAGATCATAGTACTGTTCTATTTTAATGAGTCAATTTGTAAAGGTTGATTTTCAGCTGACATGTCATTGTGTTTAATTGAACCATCCTGGAAACAAGGATGAATTTTTTGTGTGCATATAAATCATAGATGGAAGACTCGTTAGAGTTTTTTATGTTAAGTTTTGAACTCAAGCAGTTAAGTAACTGGTTGGGTACCCAAAAAATTTCTTCTACCAACCAAATTCGATAACATGCCTTTCTGCTTGATTATATTGGGTGCCCCATACAGTTGTAATCTTTCCGTCTGTTCAGATGAATAATAAATTAAGATTGGGAATTAGTAATTTTTCATCTAAGCAGTAAGTGTGATTAAGTACGGAAGGGCACAAGCATAGTAGATATTTATGAACTAGGGCTTGATTGTCCCTAGGAAATCTTGACATGGCTCGATGTCCTTTTAATTGCAAAATACTAGGTTATATGTAATTTCCCTAGTGGAAATCATTTAGTTAAAATCACACGGAAACACGTATTTATGTAGTATTGGAACCGACAAGCACAGCCTCTGGTTGCTGGTGGTGCAAATACATGGATTTATGTCATCTAATGCAATATACCTTAACAAAAGATTCATGGATGTTGACATGGTACAATATTACTCGTTAAGAAAAGAATTCATTTTTTTCTGCTAACAGTAAAATACCAATGTTACTTGCTTGAATTTGCCTAATCTACATGTACATGCCTTAGGACCATCAAGAGAAGATAAATGTAGATAGGCAGCACACAATATGAACCACTCGATAAAATGAAAGTTGTTTAAAAAAGATACTAGTACTGAACAACTGATGCACGGTTGCATATCAATTACTTAGAAAAAACTAAAATGAGATCAATGAGATGTCATCGCTCATAACTCAACTTGCAAATAAAACCCTTTCAGCCTCTTTCTGGCAGAAAATATAGTTCCTTCTGATATTCGAAGGAGTTAACTAAATTTGTTGCCATCAATACTAACTTCATCTAGACGATGCATTACAATGATTTTCATCATACTTCACCAGAATAACCTCTAATGAATACTGGAACTTATAGTTCCTTTCTTTGATATTTTTAAGGAGCTTAACCCTGTTTGTTGCCTTCTACACTGCCTACATTTAGACGTGGCAATACAACGAGTTTTATTGAACTTCACCAGAATAACCTCAAATGGGTTTTGAACTTTACCCCAAAAAAAAAAAACGTAAAAATGAAAAAACTACATGCAGTTTGCCACACAATTATTTTTTCAATGAAAGAGGCCGCTTAATATTAAACGTTCAACTTGTAAACATGCATTCTCCCCTTCATTTTGAACTTATTTGTTTATGCGGTGGTAAGTTATAATCATTCAATTGTTGGACTTCAAACAGGAGAACCTTGTGACCCCTACCATTGTGTGCTTGAAAGCAAGTCATTTCTTGAGAAAATGACTCTTCTTGAACATACAGTTCCATTTTTCTTGCCAATACGTGAAGCTGAAAATGATTTTCTCTCTTCAAATGCAATGGTGAGACTAGTTTCTTAAGCATATCATTGTTCATTGGCTGACTATACACATCTCAAAGCATTAATTCTCTTATCTGGTTTCAGAAATTCATAGACCACGTGGGAGATTTATTACAGGCTTTTGTTGATAGACGGGAGCAGGTATTTTGCTCATTTCTAGAACCATCTGTGAGGGGTTCAATTAAATTCTCTTAATAGATTCTATAAAAATATCCTCACTCTCTGTATTTTATATACATTTATTTTTATTTTTTTGGGTGTTAGTTCTGCTATTAATTATGACATGACATGAATTTGATTCTATTTTTCCAAATAAATCTTTTTCTTTTTGAATAACACATTGTTTACACATGCAAGCATAATTTCTGGCTGCACAACATAATTATTATTAGTCAAATGATAGCAACCCTCGTAAATATTGATTGAGAATGTTTTTTAAATACAGGAGGTTTCCTTGACATGTGTAATTTTAATGTGCATTCCTAATTCCAGAACTGCCTGACTGCCTCGACTTAAAGTTGTCTTCTAGATGCTGCATACCCTCGTGTCCTATTCTGTATAGATGAAAAATGCTGATGAAGATTGATAGTAGTGTAACCTGAGTTTGCACATTTGATAATTATTTGTGATGGCAGCAGATCAACAAACCAACTTGAGTGAAAGGTGAAATGCATAGTTTAAAGCAAGCCCATGGGTAGCTATAGTCATTGAATGGCTATAATAATAGATAGTAGAGGTTTTCAAAAGCTGTTGATTCATTAGGGACTCTGACAAGATGGTTTTTGAGCGTTTGCAAAGGGAATTTGAAGCTGCCCGAGCTTCTCAAACTCAAGGTAGTTTTAGATAAATACTTTGAGCACTGTATTTTTTAACTGTTCATAAAGATTTTATAAGTACTTTTGGTGGCTGCCATTGTGTGCTTCTTGTTACCCTGTAGCGGTGTATCATTGGCTCATGATTTTCCATTCATCATCTATGATTTGTATATCTTTTTTTTATACGTTTTGAAATAATTGAATTAAAATCTACTGCCAAGCAAGGACGAAACTGTTAGATATGTAAGTCATACAATGATAGGGAAACATATGTGCATTAACCTGCTAAGATGTCAACATAGGGGTGAAGCCCACTAAAAAATATAGGAAGAGAAAAAAAAGGATCTTGGAGAAACTCTACCCTTATGTAATAGTTTCGTGATCCAAATTTCAACCTTTTTTCAGATGCCAAAAGGCTGGAAATGCCTGTTTTGGAGAATAGATGCTGAGACAAAATTTCCACCTTTTGCATGTGTAATAATATCTTGCCACTTCTTTTTGTCAGCCACTAAGTAGAAAGTAGAAAGTAGTAATGATGCTATATTGGATATGGCAGTGAATCCTTACTCGTCTTTATTGAAGATTGAAGGGAAACACCAAACATGTTTGTTTGCCCACTAGGAACTTATTTTCAACATATGAGTTCTGGGAGCCTAATATTTTTCTGGAATGTGAGTTGTAGATCCCATATTTTCTTAAACACTGGCAAAGTTGGTAATTCTAGAAAAAATGACTTATGAAAACTGTTTTTGTTACTTAAAATGAATAATCTGGAATGTTGGTCAACTTGCCAATAATGAGAACTCATGGCGATAAAGAACTTACAAATTATTACACCATTTCTTTAATTCAAGGACCTTAGAGAAAACCCACTGAAGCCGTGTTGGTGTTTTGCTTAAAAAAGGGACATTTGATACGAAAAGAATGATCAGTATTTTTATGGAGATCCTGTTAAATATGTTACATGAAGACTTTCCTAGTTTGGATTCTTGATTAGGAAAAGTAAATGCAGTTTATTTTTTTGTTCTCTTGTATTTTATGTTATTTCTTTAGTTGTTTCTACTTAAATTAAATTAGTTAAAACCCTATATAAAAGGGGCTTAATTGTTGTATTTTCCTCGTCTTCGATAAATTGAATAAACACCTTCCCTCTCTAATTTCCTCCTCTCTCTTCTCTCTCGTCTCTGTCTTTCTTTTTGTTTCCTCTCCTCTCCTCTTCTTGTCTTTCTCTCTTTCTTTTTCTCCTCTCTCCCTTCCCCTTCTTCTACAATTCTAGTTCTTGTCCGATTATGTCTGTCGGCATTTTTCTTTTCAACTCTTCTTCCAGAAAATAAGAGTTGAGAAGATTACATTTCTTATTATTGTAATATTAGTCCTTAGATTCCTTAAAAAATGATTTCTCTTATCACCGCTCACTTGTATGAATTTTTTTTCTTAACGCTCTTATCTTGATGTGATTTGTTGTGTCGACTTCATTAAAGTCATGATTTCCATGTATGTTTGAATATGTATAAGATTAAGATACAAAATATATTTGCATTTTCCTTTTACTATTTGATACTATAATTAAATTTTCAAACTGTTAAACTGTAAGGTATTGGAATATATATCTTTTCGATAATATATTCGCACAAGTTATTTTGATTTCACGAGATTGTTGATTATTAAATGCATATCAACTTCTTCTGGGGTTTGTTCCTAGTTCTGGCACTTATACCTCAACTGAAAATTGTGTTCATTTTTAGGCCTGTTATTGGTTATATTCTGAATATTCTTATATGCTTTTGCTAGCCTCTTGAATTGCTTCTTACTTGGTGGATAACTTACCTGGAATTCCATTAGAGTACCGTTATTTCACACTTCAAATATCATCTACTTGTTAGTTTTGTTAAGATGTTAATTATTTTGCAGAAGTATGGTTAGATGGTGAGCAATGGAATGATGGTTTATTAGCTACAGTGAGGGAGCGGGTATGATTTTATTCAATTAGTTTACTAGTTTTAGTAATTATTCTTTTCATTATCCATGGAGATTAGAGGGGGTGAGAATTCACTTGAAATTGCTTTTGTTTGATATTCCTATAGAAGAACACCCATTTTTGAATTTCATTGCGAAATTGGTGGAAACTTTTGTTTTCCTCTCCGTTTTCTCACGTGCGGCTTTCTGTTCTCTTCATACAAGTTTACACATTCAGAGTCAGACTATGTTGATATTTATGGCAGGTTCACATGGAGGCTGAAAGAAAGGCATCTCAATTGTCAGGGGATACAACTGCATTGCCGGTACTTCCTTATGAAAAGATAACTTATAGAGTTGGAAATAAGGTATATTATGATTGTTAGGAATTTATACTTGTTATTTCTTAATAAATCCCAAAATATGTAGGACTTCATTTTTGGGTTCCCTGTGTCATATTGAGATGGTATTCTTCTATTTTTCTTGTATTGAAGAAAGAGAAGTGTAGAAAAATTTCAACCAACTTCTACCCATTTAATATTGGTCATGCACCAATTACTTAGTATATATGATAAAGTGAGATTGTCCTTATCGATTTGATCAACAATTGCTGGTTAAAGAACTAAGGGCGCGTTTGATTGCGAGTATGAAATTTGCATGGAAAGAAAATAAATTTTAGGTAATTCAATTGCCTGAAACTTATTTGTATGGAAATTATTATTTAAATGTGTTTGATTGATTTAGTTTTCAATCTAAAAAATATTATACTTATCTATTTTTTATTGGTGTGTAGATGAGAGAGAGTTGATAGATAAGAGAGAGAAAGAGAGAATGAATTACTTGGAAAATAAAAATCATCCCTCTTCAAAGAAAATATTTTCCTTGTTTTTGAGGAAAATATGGTCCCATGACCAAAATTTGGAAAATATTGTCACCCCAAAAGCAGGAATTTGAGAAGAAAAATGACATTTTTCATGGAAAATAAAGCCAATCAAACACACTCTAAGAGTAATTCTGAGTTGTAGTATTCGTACCTAGTACTTTCCATAGCTTAGGCCTTAGAGTGAAAATAGTTTCTTGGTTCTTGAATGGCATAAGCATGTTGATCTTTTGATCACCTCTGGAACACTTGACACTGGTCTAAGAATTCAGCATTACCTGCTGCCTTTATTATTAACCCTTATGCACATCCACTCACTAGTTGGATTTCTCAGGTTCCCCTCGTCTTAAGAGGGCACTCTTCTTGATTTCTTGGTTGGTCTATTGAATACTATTCTGAACCGAATCCAATACGATGGAAAGAAGTAATAGTCTTGTGCATGCTACAGTGGCACACTTAAGTATCCATTTCCTGCATGGACACTGGTCTAAGAATTCAGCATTACCTGCTGCCTTTATTATTAACCCTTATGCACATCCACTCACTAGTTGGATTTCTCAGGTTCCCCTCGTCTTAAGAGGGCACTCTTCTTGATTTCTTGGTTGGTCTATTGAATACTATTCTGAACCGAATCCAATACGATGGAAAGAAGTAATAGTCTTGTGCATGCTACAGTGGCACACTTAAGTATCCATTTCCTGCATGGTGTGCCCAGGGGTGAAAGACTAGCAGTGCTATCTGTTTCTTGTGTGGGGGCACCCATGAGATAGTTACTTCAACCAAATTCATCTTATTGGAAATGTTGAATTTATTTCTTTTAACTGTAGTATCTTGGTGCACAATTGATTTAGAATACAGTGTTTGCTGGTAGACTTGGAGGCTTATCCGAGCCTTTGAATTAATTCAGGTGGACCCGAATTAAAATTATAAGCCCACAATTAAATTTGAATAGTAACGGTAGGGTTTAGATGACCAAATTTGCATTTTATCTTCTCAGATTTTATATTATACATTGGGACCATTGACAAAATCAATGAAATTATAAGCCAACGTGCTTCTTAATTACTAATGAGGATCCCATGTTATGTGGGCTGTCACAACAATGTGAAAGTGGGACACTGTTGTGTGACCACTTTAAAATTCTCTCGTGAAGGCACCCTATGATGGATTTTGTTGGAAATATAAAAGCTTGTTTTGCTAAGCTACTTTGAAGTAATTTTTTTTATTGTGAACATGTTTAGTGGGGTAAGTGTTACTTTCAATTTAAGTACTTTTTCCAACTTTAACTAGCAAATAAATAAAATTTAAGACCAACTTATTTACTATTAGTGAACTTACAGTAAATTATCAAGCTTAGCCACCATTCGGTGCTGATCAGCCGTACTAAGAATAGTGCTTTAGGAATAGCGGGAGAAGAAGGACGAGTACGATGAGGAAAATGAGAAAAAAGTGCGTCATATTATACAATATGATGTAAGATTCTTGTAGCGATAAATTTTATTGAATTATAGATACGAGACATGTTTTTATAGACCTAGAGGACTTATCCTACAGGGGTTGTGACTTCAAATGGGAAATCTCAATCGTGCTCAGGGGCGGAACCATTAAGGGTCCAATGGAGGCAGTCGCCCCCACTGAAAATTTCAAATACCTTTAGAAAAAAAACCTAAGATAAACATATGGCAATAGGTCTGGTGGTGTGGTTCTTGCTTTGGATGTAGGTAGTTCTTGAGTTCGATTCTCAAAGTGCTCTTTTATTATTCTTCTTTTATTTTGTTTTTGGTTCTCTCTCTCTCTCTCTTTTTGTTTTTTTTTTGGTTCTCGCCCCCACTGAACAATAATTCCGAGTCCGCCCCTGATCGTGCTAGTGTAGTCTTGTTCTTGGTTCAAGTCTTTGTTAAAAATAAAATAAGACCCCAAAGATGACACAGTCTTGTTCCTAGTTCAAGTCTTTGTTAAAAATAAAATAAGACCCAAAAGATGACATGGGTTTAAATATACCTTACGGCCTTCTCCTACTACAAGGTTTATAACTCGAAATGATGGAAAACTTCGATTGCAAAAGATAATTCTAGACCAACAACTATATAAAAGCTTGTTTGGCACAATTTTTTCTTTTCTTTTTCTTTTTTTTTTTCCTAGGGAAAAATGATTTTCTTTTTTGGAGAACATGTGGTAAAAAGGTGGGGAAAAGTATGGGTCCCATAGAATGTGCGGTTGAAAATGATTTTGAGGAAAAATAATTTTAAAAAAATCTTGGACAAACAAGCCTTAAATCTTAATAATATTAGAATTTCAGATTTGTCCTTTGTCTTGTGCATCTGTTTTGCACAAGACCCTGTTGAAGTTTAGGTAAATGGCTGCAATATAAATGATTATGAGCAACATGATTGACTTCTTATTAATGCATTCTTTATGAGCAGACGATTTGCTGTTTGGAAGGAGCCAGGATTGGCATTCAATATGAGACATCATTTGCAGGTAATTACAAACTTTCTGATTTCATAATGGTATTGTTAACTAATGAAAAATATCCGGTGCTTCTGAAAGTATATAACAATTTTTTCTTTTATAAAATTTCTGATAGATCATAGTACTGTTCTATTTTAATGAGTCAATTTGTAAAGGTTGATTTTCAGCTGACATGTCATTGTGTTTAATTGAACCATCCTGGAAACAAGGATGAATTTTTTGTGTGCATATAAATCATAGATGGAAGACTCGTTAGAGTTTTTTATGTTAAGTTTTGAACTCAAGCAGTTAAGTAACTGGTTGGGTACCCAAAAAATTTCTTCTACCAACCAAATTCGATAACATGCCTTTCTGCTTGATTATATTGGGTGCCCCATACAGTTGTAATCTTTCCGTCTGTTCAGATGAATAATAAATTAAGATTGGGAATTAGTAATTTTTCATCTAAGCAGTAAGTGTGATTAAGTACGGAAGGGCACAAGCATAGTAGATATTTATGAACTAGGGCTTGATTGTCCCTAGGAAATCTTGACATGGCTCGATGTCCTTTTAATTGCAAAATACTAGGTTATATGTAATTTCCCTAGTGGAAATCATTTAGTTAAAATCACACGGAAACACGTATTTATGTAGTATTGGAACCGACAAGCACAGCCTCTGGTTGCTGGTGGTGCAAATACATGGATTTATGTCATCTAATGCAATATACCTTAACAAAAGATTCATGGATGTTGACATGGTACAATATTACTCGTTAAGAAAAGAATTCATTTTTTTCTGCTAACAGTAAAATACCAATGTTACTTGCTTGAATTTGCCTAATCTACATGTACATGCCTTAGGACCATCAAGAGAAGATAAATGTAGATAGGCAGCACACAATATGAACCACTCGATAAAATGAAAGTTGTTTAAAAAAGATACTAGTACTGAACAACTGATGCACGGTTGCATATCAATTACTTAGAAAAAACTAAAATGAGATCAATGAGATGTCATCGCTCATAACTCAACTTGCAAATAAAACCCTTTCAGCCTCTTTCTGGCAGAAAATATAGTTCCTTCTGATATTCGAAGGAGTTAACTAAATTTGTTGCCATCAATACTAACTTCATCTAGACGATGCATTACAATGATTTTCATCATACTTCACCAGAATAACCTCTAATGAATACTGGAACTTATAGTTCCTTTCTTTGATATTTTTAAGGAGCTTAACCCTATTTGTTGCCATCTACACTGCCTACATTTAGACGTGGCAATACAACGAGTTTTATTGAACTTCACCAGAATAACCTCAAATGGGTTTTGAACTTTACCCCAAAAAAAAAAAACGTAAAAATGAAAAAACTACATGCAGTTTGCCACACAATTATTTTTTCAATGAAAGAGGCCGCTTAATATTAAACGTTCAACTTGTAAACATGCATTCTCCCCTTCATTTTGAACTTATTTGTTTATGCGGTGGTAAGTTATAATCATTCAATTGTTGGACTTCAAACAGGAGAACCTTGTGACCCCTACCATTGTGTGCTTGAAAGCAAGTCATTTCTTGAGAAAATGACTCTTCTTGAACATACAGTTCCATTTTTCTTGCCAATACGTGAAGCTGAAAATGATTTTCTCTCTTCAAATGCAATGGTGAGACTAGTTTCTTAAGCATATCATTGTTCATTGGCTGACTATACACATCTCAAAGCATTAATTCTCTTATCTGGTTTCAGAAATTCATAGACCACGTGGGAGATTTATTACAGGCTTTTGTTGATAGACGGGAGCAGGTATTTTGCTCATTTCTAGAACCATCTGTGAGGGGTTCAATTAAATTCTCTTAATAGATTCTATAAAAATATCCTCACTCTCTGTATTTTATATACATTTATTTTTATTTTTTTGGGTGTTAGTTCTGCTATTAATTATGACATGACATGAATTTGATTCTATTTTTCCAAATAAATCTTTTTCTTTTTGAATAACACATTGTTTACACATGCAAGCATAATTTCTGGCTGCACAACATAATTATTATTAGTCAAATGATAGCAACCCTCGTAAATATTGATTGAGAATGTTTTTTAAATACAGGAGGTTTCCTTGACATGTGTAATTTTAATGTGCATTCCTAATTCCAGAACTGCCTGACTGCCTCGACTTAAAGTTGTCTTCTAGATGCTGCATACCCTCGTGTCCTATTCTGTATAGATGAAAAATGCTGATGAAGATTGATAGTAGTGTAACCTGAGTTTGCACATTTGATAATTATTTGTGATGGCAGCAGATCAACAAACCAACTTGAGTGAAAGGTGAAATGCATAGTTTAAAGCAAGCCCATGGGTAGCTATAGTCATGGTTGACCTTTTTGAAGAGTCACTCAATAGATATATTTATCGCATTTTTGGACTCAAGGGTCAAATTTGTTGCTGCATGATCTTAAGGTGCAATATTTTGATCTTGAGGAAATTTCAATCAAGTTGCAATAAATTCCTTGTAAACCCCTTCATGCTCAAGAAGTTAAGTCCCTCATCGGGCAGGACTTATTACATTATGAAGCCTAAAGTGATGGGCAGAAATTGCTTTACACATTTAGAATCTTAGGCTAAGAAGATAGACTAATATATTTTTCAAATAGATTTGTTTTACCTCTGCTCTAAATGGAAGTATCTACTTAGCTAGGTGTATTACTGATTGTTATTTTCCTTTTTTTTCTTAAAAAATTATAAGCTTTGCAAAGAAAAAAATATCCACGAGAGGTAAGAATGATAAAGTTATCAGTTCAGTCAAAAACCACATCGATCAACACTTTTCTTCGTGTTACCGTGGCCTCTTTGAATCACACCTGAAGGCGAATCTGCTCAAATTACATGTTGTGTTCTACTTTCATTTCATTCAATCTAAAATGTTAAGTGTTATCTCTCCAATAATTATGGAGATGTATAAATAGTATGGTATAAAATGTTTTTTTTAGGTCAATACTAATTTAAGATATATCAGCTTTATACGTTAATTTTTCTAAAATCATCAATTTCATTATGGGAATCATAAAGAACATGACCTACGAATAGAAAATTAGGAGCTGCATTGTTTATGTCAATACTAAAGAACAATACCTGGGAATAGAAAATTAGGTATTGCATACAGATAGGAAAAAGTAAAAATGATTAGAATCCACCCACTATTGTGTGGATCCTCTTATGTGCTTCGAAATAAAAATAAAAATGAGACACCTAAATATTTATTATTTTCAATTTTTTATGCTCCTATAAAATTACTCATGTGATGCTATGGAAATAGTCTTCCATGATTGTTTGGCAATGGGGGGCCGAATGGCCATTCTCGGCCCGTCCCTTAGGGTATTTTTTGTCACCTTGTCGTGCCTCCATACCAGATTAAGATGGGATGAGACAGGTTCATTGCGGGGTGGTAGGGCAGGCCGTTTATTTTTTGTTTTTTTAATGTTTTTAGTTTGTAAAATTTATTACCTTTTTTATTTTTTATTTTTGGGTTAAGAGTAACCCATATGCTCGTTAGAAAATCAAAAACTTAAATTTGAAATAAATTTTAAACGGGGCGGGTAGTGAGGTAGGGATCATGATTTCGTACCCACCCCCATACCTGCTTCAGGGCAATGTCTCCCACCCTGCTCCTGTCCTATTTATATTATTAGGTGAGTAATGGGTATTGGATTTAACGGGGTTTTTGTTATCCCTAATATTTGTCCCCTACACGATAGATGACATCATGACTCCAATCATTCAACAATTTCTACAGCTGAACTGCATTGCTCGTAGACAAGTTAAAGATCATATTTTTTTACTAGGTTTATAAGTCGTCATAAACCAATCTGGCCAAAAATCATGGCATCCCTGTCTCACACCGGACAACCATTATCAATGTAACAATTGCTTTACCCTTCTGATTTCTGAGAATAGAATATATGATGAAGAGAAGGATTTTGTCACGAACTTGACTATTTCAAGGATCCCAGAGAGAGTTCTCTCAAATCCGTCCTCTTGGTCTAGTGAAGCAGTATGTCATGTGAGACTAAAGCTTGGTTGGCTGCAAGTGATTCATGAATATAGGCATGACTAAATTGCTAGCTTCTTAACTACTCAAAAATATCGCAGTGTGGATCTAAATACAAAACTTAGGAAATCACCCAAGAAAGATTAACACGGAGTTTGAAAAACAGAAACTTTTATTGCTCACAATTTCTCTCTACAACTTGATTATTGCAAATGTTCTCTTTAGCCTTAGTTGTAAGTTATAACCTCCGCAAGTGGACATGGGTGATAAATTCGAATGAAGGTTAAGAGAGGCTTCCACAGATACTTCTATACAAATATCCTAGATGTTTACAACATAGGTAGGCTTCTATAGAATGTTCTTGAAGCTCTTGGAACTGATATCCCTCCTTCTTTATGGGGATTTAGGTAGATTTGTCGGCGTGGTTTATGCACACTGTGTTGTATCATATCTTGGCCGCGTTTGGCTGTGGCTATGGCTTCTGCAGTATGCCTTCAGGTCTCAAGTCGCCTACAGCTTTCTGGAGCTCCTGTTGTCTGAAATCTGCTCTACTGAATTGTCAAGTAGAATTGTGAATGAAAACTTACGTGGATGCCAAATTTGCAAGAGAGTGCATGATGTTAGAGAAGTACTCTATTCAGTGTTTAGTTTCTTTGCATCAATGCGATCGAAATTAATTTCCTCTGAAGTAGGTTTCCATAAAATGAAATCTTTTATGTGCTCCTTTAATTGTAGTTTCATTTTTGTTATCCCGATCATTTTAACACGATCTCTACCATTTGTCTTGTTCTTCTCCAGGTTCGTCTTATAAAGGAACTTTATGGAAATCAAGTTGGAGAACTTTATAACAGTCTTCCGTATCATATGGTTGAATTTGTGCTTGATGATTTCGATTGGTAGGTGTAGTCCTCCTCTTCATATAATTTTTCCTCGTCCATCTCAATGATTCTTAACCAACAATTGTTTTCAGAGTTTTGTTGTTTTTCTTTTTTCAACTTCAAGCTTGGGTTTTATATAACATTTACTGTGTTTGAAATGATGTGACTCTTAACTCATTTTTCACATGTTTATCGAGGCACAACACGTTGACAAATTGAAAAGGTTGAACTACCATTTTGGCTTGCTTATGAATGAGTGATAGCTAGTGTGACTGGATGGTGAATACTGGGTGAATCTAATTACTCCCTACATTTCCTCTGATCGACCTTGTAAATGATTATGGTAGTTCTTTTACAACTCTTTTACGAGTCTTTCTTTATCTTTCATAATAACGGGCACATCCTACAAATAAGAGTCCAGAGGCTCTGGATGTAGCTGGCTATGATTTGTTAATTAGTGTAGATGATTTGATGCCGCTCCTCTCTCTCTCTCTCTCGTTAGTCATTATAGTATTTTTATGCAACTTTATCATCCTACATATTATTGCATAAGGTTCTTTAACCATATTGGTACCATAGTTGTGTGGATATGACATTATCTTTTGATCCTTTTATGCATGGATTCACACATATTATTTGTTTAATTACTATAACCGTCTGATTTAAATTCTATCTAGGTTTCTACATGCTTTTGCTTTTACGTGCACCAGTTTCAAGTGTTCTTTTGTTTTTCATCTTGCAGCAAGGTTACATTGAGTCTTAAGTACGCGGATCTTCTGTCCATAGTTCCGACTGAGGTCAGTGTCCTTGTATGGCCGATGCATCAATCAAAGAAGTCGATCAGTGCTGTAACAATGACTAGGAAGGAGAACGAAGTGCTGGGAAGTCAACCTATTCCTACTCGTTTGTCATATGCAGAGGATGCATTACGAACTATGAGTTTACCTGAAGGTCAGATAATGGTAACCCTATTGTTCATTCTTGTCATTGATAACCAGACACTAATATCACCTTTTTGCTCTCCCCAACAGCTTATGCGGAGATTGTTCTGAACTTGCCCCAGGTTCTTAAAGAAATTTATCCACAGCAATATTTTGCCTAGTACTCCTATTGAAATGTGTTCTCAGGGCTCTAAAAATGGTGTGAGGGTTGGGGAGAGGGAGGATAGGGATTATCAGCAAACAACTTTTTTCTTTGACAATTAGGTCCGTAACACTAGTCTCTAATAAACTCGATTAAGTGTGTCCGAATGCTAGAGAATCTTCTTAAATATAAAATAAAATTCTACAATATGTAATCACAACAGAAGCAGCATAATGCAAAGAAATGACGTGAACGAGATTTTCAACTATAATTCTCATGAGTTGTAAGAGAAATCTCAACCTCAAGAACTTGTTCTTCAAGATGCCAGAAATGTCTGATGGGGGCACTCTGATAAATCATAAATGTAGGAAGAGGAAACACTATCGCGGTTAGCATACAAAGTTTCTATATCATTACTGAGATGATTCTATCTTCAAGACAAGCAATATAATTATAGCATGTTGTCTCTTGGCAACATCATGATCTTATGGCTTCCAGTTTAGATGTAATTTTTTGCTTTAGTTCTTGACACGTTGAGAAAAAAATTGATTGCTTAACTACTTTTCTATGGAGTTCAGAAGAGAGATAAAACTATCTGATTGAAAATATATGCTGGGCAAACGTACACCACCACTTGATAGTCTGAACAGAGTACGTCGTAGATCATTTTGCACTTTCTGAATTTTATCGTCCAATATGGAAACTGGTTATATTGAGCATAGAAGAAACTTGTGAAAGATCTAAAAGCTACGGTCAAGTTTATGCTTTACAACCTGTCTTTAAACATAGCAAAACCAAATGCTGATTACTATATATGCAGTGAATTTAGATATAAACTCTTCCAATGGACGCCAAAACTACTATTAGGATACAATAAACGATGGGTTGTGCTGTGTGTATACAATGGTGTACACACAGTTTTACACCCCTGCTCGACGGGTGGGTCTTGCAGTCAAGCTCCTTTCTGCCTTTGCACTCGAGGGCCAATCTTCGTTCGGCGTATACACAGTTTTACACCCCTGCTTGACGGGTGGGTCTTGCAGTCAAGCTCCCATCTGCCTTTGCACTCGAGGGTCAATCTCCGTTTGGCCCAAGGAAACCTTTGCACGCATTCGTGTGTGTACATAGGTGTACATAGTTTTACACCTCCCTCACATGGAGATAGCTCACATGTAATAAAATATTCGTGTACCTTCTTCCATGTAAGGAGGTTGTAAAGCTGTGTGTACACCTTGTGGTGTACACACAGCATTTTCCAATGTTTTACCACTTCATTAACAAAATCTATGAATCCACTTAGTTCTGCAGTTTCGTGCAATTGAAGTTGGAGTACATGTCACCATAAGAATGCACAGATCCTGCATCAAAACACAAATAATCCAATTCAAATAAGTAACATAAATGTCTTCTAGATATTCTAAATTCTTTTTAAAGATTGCGGCCATAATTCAATAGAAAAAAAGGAACTACAAACCATAATATACGCAAGGGCTGTAGATATCTTTATTTGATACCTTAAGCTTGCTCCTATGGTATCCTTACAATATATTTTGGTAGGGCAAAACATATCGATATTAGGTATAAAAATTTTAGAAATTTGTTTACGTACACAAAGTATTATGTAATTTAATAATTACCTTTTTAATTTAATACACAAAAAATCTATAGAAAATGAAGAATAAAAAAGCTATAATTGAAAATCATATTAAAAGACTGCAATTGCCAATTAGAGTATTTAAGCAACTTTTCAGTAAAGCAACTTTCTATAGCAGTGTTTTAGTGATAAAAAAGCAGCAGCAGAAAGGTTGTGTTTTTCTCCTTTTTGTTTAATTATACTTTTTTTTTTAAAAAATTCGACATCATATCGTACTATGTGTCTCAAATAACATCTGTTTGCTAGTGGTAGATGGAACAAATTCAACATAACAACTTTATAATTGATAATTAAAGTTACTTTCTTAAAGTAGTAGCTTAGTGAGCGTTAGTATTTTTGCAAATATGATAGTTTCAATCTATTAATTGCAAGTCTTTTTTAGATATGTACTTCTTTCTTATTGTATAAGTATCTTTTGTATAGAACAAACATAGATCATAAGTCAATTATTTACAAGTAAACAATCTAAAAATACAAGATATTTTTACAGAGGTCTTACCGACTCACATGGGGTCAGTCCCACGTGGGCCCCAATGTAATAAAAAATGAAGAAAAAATTCCGACCCCACCCCTTTGTAAGAACCCTGTAAGGGTTCTGTAATGTGCTGGGCTGTATGCCCAGCACTGCTCATAAGGTATTCTATGTCTTGATCCTCTACTAAAATGCCGATATCTAATTATATCAACTATAGCAAATTTTAAAATGTTAATAAAATATGATGTTACTCGTGAAATATTCATAACGCGTTACTATTTACTAATAAAAAGTATCAAAATTTAAACGAAAAGTTTGACAAATAATAACACCAGATCTTAACTATGTGAGCTCGATTACTAGTGACTTTTCAAGTGTAGATATTAGGTGCAATGTGACAAAATGAGTAATGCTATATTTGATCACAATGGCAATATCGTGACATTAGATATCCATTTGGTAGATATTTTTTTGAGAATAAATTTTGTGAAAAGTGTTTTTTCTTTACTTTTTTTTTAAATGTGATTAAAAATTATAATTTCATGTGTAAAATTATTTTGTTAAAAAGTATATAATTAAAAATTAATTTAAGAAAAAACGAGCTTTGAAAAATGGAATCATACGCGGAGTAAAACCATATTTGATTTCAATTTTTAAAATTTATTTTCGATCGCACATTTTACATTATCCATAATTTTAGCCCTCGTTTGGTCCCTATTTTTTTAAATGAAAACGAGTGGAATTGTATTTTTTTTGAAAAATGATTGGTTGAAAGGAATGAAAATTTTTCGATTTACGTGTAACATTACTTATGAAATATTGTGTGGTTAAAAATAGGAGAAAGAAAAATAAAATAAAATTTCATGGTGGCCAAACGGGGATTTAATGGACTTTTATAAAAATATTTCATAACTTCTATAAAAATTGACTATAATTTTGATTTTTATCACAATTAATTGACTAGCCCAATTAACGCACGAACATGAAATTTATGACAAATGGCGTTACTCGAACAGAGGGGATAATGTTGTATTTTGCGTCTGTCAGTCTGTCACTATCTGGAACCTCTTTCGGCGAGAATCCCACCTCGACTGTTCGGCTGCAGACACGCGGCACAAGTGCCACCATCTCATGACACGAAACCTTCCCCTCTTTCTTTTACTGTTTCAAAATTTACATACGTACTCACTCATTTATTCCTTCGTCAACAAAAAACAGGCAGAGAAGCCGATCATACTCTCAAAATCTCTGCGTTTCCGTTTTTGCCCTGTCAAGTTTTTCTGTATTTGCTCGGCGATTCCATATATGGAGGTGCCGTCTGGGTTTATAGCCAAGCTATGGAGTTTTATCTCATTTTTACCCTTCTTTCTCTTGCTCTTCACCCTTGGCCTTCTCAAAGGTAATTCTTCTTGCTCTTTTCTTTAAGATTTGTTGCTCTGTGTTAACTACTTTCAATGCATTAAGAACGCCATAAACCAATTTTGTTTGTGTAATTTCAGCAATGTTCTTGTAGTGGAGGCCTGCGTAATTGAACATGCTTAACCTCAATTTTATTTCACGTTTATGAGATTTTTATTTTTTATTTTTTTTATAAAAAATGTAAATTTGAACTTAATCTCACTGATTGAAGGTCTCCTCCTGAATAAAAAAGTATGCATTTCCATGGTCACTTTGATGATTAAGTTAGTAAAGATTTTGATTAAGGGAAATAGATTTGAATTGGATTCTAATGTGTTACCCGATAAGGTTAATGGTTTGCTCCCTATATGATTGATGGAGTGCTACTGTGTGCATATTCAGTCGATGTATCCCTTACTAGAGGTAAACATTATCTAGCTAGTTTGATTGATATTCTATCACAAGTAGAGTCTTCATTGTTATGCGACAGGCACTTCTTTTGAGGTAGGCTTATCATGGATATGCCTTTGGCATGCTCTCTGAATGCTAGATCCAGGGTCACGGATATGCCTTTAGCAGTTTTCATTGATCACTACGCATGCCCAAGGTTGTTAGACAAGCTGGCTTGATCTGGGCTATGTTTTGGCTTTCACATCAGCTAAGTTGTCTCATCTGATTAGCGTCTGTCACTACAATGTGCATACAAATTAAACCAACGCAATTTCAGCAAGTTTTGGTCATGGAGACAAAGATTTGACAAACCCTGCTATGAATAGCTGCCTTAGAGCCTACTAGATCTCGAACCTTAGGTTTAAATCCAATCTAAACAAGTTGAGGATCTAGACTTGATAGGTATACCTATAATCAAAAACCTAAGTGAGTTGGATTTGACATAACAAGAAGAGTTAGTGGGACAAACAAAATAGCAAGTCAAGAGAGTGAGAAAATGGTGTCAGAGAAATTACTATTCCCAGGAATAATTTGGAAGTGATTTCATTTATGTCGATTATGAAGTCGCATGGAAGGACATAAATCAAGCCTACCATGTTATGAAATTTTGTAATGGGTTTTATAATAAAGTTGGTTATGTAAAAGAATATTGCACTCCAGCGGGCTTGGTGTGCAAATTGCAATATTGTTGGGGTGCCAAAAGATGAATCAGCTCGACCAAGAATTCGCTTTCATTTATACTAGTTGGGATAATTTGTGCTAGTGATGGAAGTTGATGACATTAGTGTGAGGGTACATTTGCATGCAGTGAACTAGACCCATGACCCATGTCACAGCATCCCTGAAAAATGCATTCCTTAATGCAAGAATTTGTAAGTTAGGATTGGGGAATTGCTGCGATTCTTCCTGAATAGCCTGGATTCTGGCGTCAAATAACGCCACGCATGCACATATTCTGTGTTTGTATTTTTGTTAATAATGCTGGCAGCATGCGGAAAAGATCTTGGTAAAAATCACAGCTACAATTCTGAAGACAGATTTCTAGTCTATCAAATGAGCATATGTTAACAACTGAATTTACTAGGAAATTTTATTGTGTATACGCTAAAAGCCCAAGTGATAGGCCTTGGGCCACCGTTTTTGTAGAATAGTTAAACAAACTTTGACCATCTGATGTGGGACAACTTCAAAGCACCCATTACTCAATCGGAATCTACTCTCTCTTGAGGCAACTTAAGGGTTTAATATCTTAATCAAGCCTAGTACTTCCAGTAAACTGCAGGATTGTAATATTCAGTGAAATTGGACTCAAAAAATTGAAATGTAAATGTGAGGGTTAACTATATTTATATTCTGAAGTAGTTGTGAGACTATGCCGGGCGCGCTTGCCCCAGTATAATCTTTGTGCAGTGCAATTGTAGCTTTGTTATCTAAACTGAGCTACTCAAAATAAGACAATGGGAACACTCCTCTAAGTTCTCTCTCTGCATGCTACGATAGAAAATATTATACTGTCATTTTTGTTTCTCTGGGAAATGCCAATTTATCCTTCACAAAGTCAAATTTATTTATCTTCACCTCCAGTCTCACCACAGCCCCCTATGAGTAGAGGTGGCTAGTATAGCAGGGAGTTGGTTGTGACATGCGCTTTATCCACACGTTAGCGACATCTCTGTTTTTGTTATAGAGGCAGAAGTAGGGAAGACGGTTAAAAAAATATATTAAAAAAGTAAAATAAAATAAAAAATTTATGAGGGAATGGGAAAGAAATCCTGTCTCTGAAGCTTATATATCTTTTCAAAACAGCTAGCCATAGGCGTCCCTTAGTGTTTCAGAGAATCATCAACGATTAAGAGGATGACCCTGGGAAAAACATTAATACTTCAAAAATAATATTTTTTATGCTTCTATAAATTCAATTAGATTCTCTGAGTTCTTATTTGATTTTTAAACAATTTCTTGTCATCTGTTTTGTTGGCTACCTGTTGAGAGTAGATAGTATTCAGTGGATATATATCTCAACTGTCCTGCTTGTGTCTTATCCTTTTGTGTTGGAACTTTATGCTGGTTAAAATGTCATATATGGCAAGTGCGCAATATTTGACCATATTCATTGAACTCTGAAACTGGTGCTTGGGCAGGGTTGATCATATGTCCAATTGTGATTGGCATCATAGCGGTTGGAAACTCGGCAGTGGTGATTGGACTTTGGCCCGCCCATTTTATTTGGACTTACTACTGTGTAGCAAAGTGTGTTTCCACTTCATTTGTCTTCTCCTGTTTATTTCTAACATTCATGAATCTGACGCACGTTGCAATTTAGTCCTTTCAAGTTCTTCTCAATCCTGATTGATGATGATTTGGCATTCAAAACAGAAGCAAGAGGCTAGGATGGATTTTGAAGATTATGGTATTGTTGTCACTACTAATTCCCCTGATCCTGTGGCCCATCATTGCAATTCTTGGAAGTATCCTTGGGGGGATAGGATATGGGTTTTTTGCTCCCTTGATTGCAACTTTTGAGGCTGTTGGAGAAAATGTGACTGACAAATTTTACCACTGCTTTACTGTGAGTCTTCATCTCTATTTCTTCCTTCGTACTTTCTTGGATCTTCTTCCTTTTCAAGATAAATCTGTAGTTTTATTATGCTTTTCTTGTCTAACTTATGCAGTAAAGTACTTTTTTGGCTACTTTATGGTCATAAAAACTAAAGATGATTTATGAACTATGCTTGTTTGTTATTGTCAGTGATTGTATCTCATTTATAATGCTTTGTTATTGTCAGTGATTGTATCTCATTTATAATGCTTACAAGGGAGAAGGAAAAGGATGTTACATTATTCTTTGCTTAGAATGGCTCCAATAAGTCAATTATTAATTCTACGAAATTATCATATTTAAACATATCCAATCAATTAGCATTACGGAAAATAAATACAAAGTCAACGAGGTACTCTCTGTATAATCGAACATAAATATCTTCTTTTTTCAGAATTTGAAGGACAGCCTATAGTTTCCAATGCAATTGAAAAAGAAAAAAAAAAAATTCTAAAAATCAAATTTATTGAAGTTTTTCTTTTCAGAATTGTGTTAGGTCTAATTCCTACTGATCGATCTAGTCGTCAAGATAACACTTCCACCAGATGCCAGAATAAAGGAGAACAGTGTATTAGATTGAATCCCGGCATATACACTGGTGACCAAATGTCCTTCATTCTCTGCTTGTTTCTGATAGATTGGAACAGATTAGATTCAATTCCTCTTGGTCAGAATGTCAGCTAGCTGTCATTCATGGGACTTAGAAGTGTGCATGTTCATCCCTTGGCTGGTTCCTTAGTGAAATGACGATCAACTTCAATTAGCCTTTTATTAAAGGAAATTACTCTGTTTGAAGCCTGGAATTACTCCAATAAGTTAGCTTCTAATTCGACTAACAAAACACGAAGTCAACCGTACAGAAAAGGAAAGAATCCTGAATCACATCCCGAACCAATACAAGCTGCATCTGGTTAATAATGAATGGATTTTTGGACGCGCTCTTCATTCAGATAGCCTACGTCTGTGAACGAGTCAACACTGAATAACACAATCACACACACACGGTTTGCAGGATGCCTTGACTGCTGTAAACGGATTTGCAGTTTTTCCAATATTTACTCTGACTAGGTTGAGGTTTAGGGATGCATGTTGATGATTGTGTTTTCAGCTGGTTTTGTGGTATCTGTTTTCCTTAAACTAATTTCCATTGATTGACAGTTTGCAAAATTATCAGGACGGTTGTTGTTCAACTCTTGAAGGCAGCTGTACAGTGGTTCGGGATTTTACAGATTTTTGCTTCCATTCCTACTTCTCCTACATGGATGAACTGGGTGAAGAAGTGTGCGAAGATGAGAAGCCTATGGACATAAAGTGAGATAATCCTGACTCAAAAGAGTTTTTCATTAAAAGTAGTGAGATACTCAAAAGGATTTTTCTCTACAGGTTAACAGTATAAACATATATTTTTTTATGATGTTAACTTCAGGTTATCAAAACTCCCAAGCTGTCTTTTGGTTTCTCTGCTTGCAATTCCTGTAGATGTTCTTCTCATCTCTGCAGTTGCTCTATGGAAAAGCCCATACATGTTATTCACGGGGTGGAAGAGGTTATTGGAGGACTTGATAGGGAGGAAAGGCCCATTTCTGGAGACAGTATGTGTGCCATTTGCTGGCCTAGCTATCCTTTTATGGCCTTTAGCCGTAGTAGGAGCCGTGATGGCTGCTTTCTTCTCCAGCTTCTTTCTTGGTCTTTATGGAGGAGTGATTGTCTATCAGGTATCAGTTTCTTTCTCCAGACTTCCTTGTGTCTCAACCTAAAACAGAAAATGAATAAATAGAAATCATCCATTTTTCTTTTGCACGATGATCGAAGTATTTAATATGACTTAAGAGAGGTAGTTGACTTGTGATCATTATACTCTAAACAAAAAAAAATGTTATGAGTCTGCAGGAAGATTCTCTTTGCATGGGACTTGCATACATTGTGGCAGTAATATCTCTGTTCGATGAATATGCAAATGACTTACTTTATTTGAGGGAAGGGTCATGCTTTCCCAGGTATCTTCTGAGACTGATTTTTTTTTTTTTTTTTAACTAGTGGAAGCACACTGTTCTTACCTTGACCTTCGTAGACAGAAATTTCCGAATATAGACAATAAACTTGATCAGTGAATATGTGTGACAGCCAGGCCTCGTTACCGGAAAAGCTTGAGTCCTTCCAATGGCCTAGAAAGAATAAAGTCGCTTGACAGGAAAGTTGGAAGAGAAGGTTCACGCAATTCAAAGCTTGTTTCAGAAGGATCAAGAACGGTAAAGCAAGCAATTCAACAATACACACCAGTGCAGGTGCGTGGTCTCTAGAATATAACTTAAAATGATCATCTGGTTGGGGCCTGGGGGCATTTGGAATTTCAATACAGCAATGTGACAGGTATGGGATTGGCTCTTTAAATCTTGCGAAATTAATGGGAAAATGCTCCTCCGAGAGGGTCTGATAAATGTCAAAGACATTGAGGTATGTATTCTGAAAGGAAATTGTAAAAAGCTGGGCATCAAGCTGCCTGCTTGGTCCATTTTGCAATGCCTTATTGCATCAGCAAAGTCTGGTTGTTCTGGGTTGCTTATCTGTACGTTCTTATTCTGGATTCAAGTTTGTTTTTGATGGATTAGTTATTCATTTTGAAAAAACAGTGAGTTTTATATTTTTTCTAGCTGATGAATTGGAATTGACCTGGATTAATCGGCCAAGAGATAAATTTTTTGATTGGTTCATTGGGCCACTCTTAACCATGAAGGAGCAGATAAGGGGACTTAAACTGGAGGAAAATGAGGAAATTTGCTTGAAAAAGTTGATCATGGCATGCAAAAATGATAGACCCGAGGAATGGGATGACACTGGATTCCCATCCAGTGACAATGTTAGAAAAGCACAATTGCAAGCTGTTATTAGGAGGTTAGTCCAAGATGACTATATCTTCTTTATTTCTGTTTACTGTACTTCATTTATTTGCACATTTCACTTGTGCAGCACATTTTCCTACTATTGGTCTACTGTTAGCCTTTTGCGTCTTTCTAATGACTTATTTCTTCCCATTCTTGCAATATGAATCCCATCAAATTCAGCCCCTGTCCATGTTTAATTGATGCTCAAAAAAAAAAAAAAAAATAGAAAAAGAGATCTCTCTAGCCAAGTAAAAAGTAGACATTTCTATAGCAAGTTTTATAAGTTCTATTCTAGATAGTCAACCTACATAACATTATGAAGTTTTGTATCAACTATAGATTACATGTGAATTTGCCAAATTATAGAACTATTGCTAAATGTTAAACTCCTGATTTTCATGATTTCAGTGTGACCTGTGCTCTGAGCGTATCATAGCATGCATGTTTGAGCTTGTTCTATTAAATTCTTTGGAAGATTAGATTATTTCAGAACTTTTGATCCCTGTGTTGCATGTTGTTGCTCTAGTACTGAATTGCAATTTACTGTTATGTTTAGCTTGAATTAGTGTACCTATATCTATACAACAGGCTGCAAGGAATTGTTGCTTCCATGTCCCGGATACCAACATTTAGACGTCGTTTCCAGAATTTGGTGAAGCTGTTGTATATAGAAGCTATGCAGACTGGTCTCTTGGTGGATCATGCTGTTGGTTTATCAAATTCTGGACGTGGTAGCAGATCCTATCAAAGAGGGATCAGAAAAGATGAGGATACAGAGGACAGTAAGGAGATTACTCATGACATTGTAAATGCAGTATGATTATAAATCACGAGATATTTTCACCAGCAACTTATGATACGAGTTAACTCCTCCTAATGCATATTGTTCGTAACTTGTATATTTATGCCTAGCATTGTCCAGCATGTGATTATGTGGTGTTTGACGTGTATAGCGGTTTTCAGCGCTTCTATCTCACGACTCCATTAACTTGTCCTTTATATACAAAAATATGAATCACCTAATCGACAGAATCTTTGTTAGCTCTCGACATTTTTTGTTACTCAAGTCAATTTTGAGTGCTCAGAAGTTCGTTGAAGGTTGACCAGACAGTTACATTTGTGATAGAAACATAAATTGATTCCTGTTAAAGAGAAAAATATTACATCTTTTTACACTACCATTTGGTTACAGATAGAGACGAGGATATGCTATTGAGATGGTTGAATTTCGAGAATAAGCACGAGAATTTAATGAACTCATCTAATAATAATGGGGGTAAGAGTTAAATCGTGGCGACGTTGGGCCAAATAATAAATAAAAATCTTATTTTGTGACTTGTTTATGCCCTTTGGGATTCAATTTTCTAGTAGTTTAATTTCGTGTTTTGCAATGTTGATTAGTCACAGTTGTGAAGTTTAATCAAAGTCACCTGAGTTGATTTTTGTCGTTTTAAAAATGTTATTGCCCATCGAGTTTCAAACTCAAAACACTTAATACAAGTGAATAAATTGATGGCCAATGTCGCAAAATCTTCACTCAAATCTTCTTTTTCCCTTTACTTGTATTTTTTCTTTTTGTTGGTACTTTCTACCTATTTTTAAGGTGAAACGACTCAGTAAAGTAAATTTATAGCAAGTTTGAACAATTTTACACTAGGTAAATCAAATTTATTTATTTGAATAATGTAATTAAATATTAATAGTGATAAGCAAGTTAAGGATTCTATTTCTTTCTAGTCATCTAGACATATGATTGTAATTAATGATTATAAACATTTTTTAACAATGAATTAAGAAGCTCATTGCTTCTTAAATTGATTAGAAGATCATCAAAATTGAAAACCTTAAATGAGAAATGCATTAATTACTCAGCTAAAAAAAAAGAAAGAAAGAAAGAAAGTCAATAGAATAATCATTTTTTATGATGAATAACAATACTCAATTTTACTCGACATATTTGACCCAAAGAAATTGACAGACCGACCTTTTTGTGGGTGAATGAGAGTCCCAATGTCCCATAGAGGGCTGAACTTTATGAGAGGCTACTTAAAAAGGGCTGTCGACAGGGATTTAAACAAGCCCCTATTTGAGTTAATTGTTTCAATAGTTTGAATGCCCACTGAAATTTATTTTTGGTTACCACTTGCTCAACTAAAATAAAAAGTTACCTAATGGTCAACGAACTATTAATCCATTTACCCATCCATCATTATAGTACTTTCATCTGTACAATGGACCAAAAAAAGTCCACGTCACAAATGAAAAGATGACGTGGTAGACCGAATCACTTACAGCTTGTTTGTGAGTGATTTTTTCCCTCTAAAAAATTGATTTTTTTGATCGTTATTACACTATTTCAATCGTTATATTTGACTTCTTCTACCTCACTTTTCTCCTAACGATCAAAAAATCAATTTTTAAAATCACAGTTTGGCTCTTAATCTCTTCGCGTCAGCAGCTTCTTCAATTTGAAACCACTACTCCTCTAACCAGACAACCAAAAACCATCTCATGAAATCAACAGATTGAAATTCACCTTCATCCTCAAATCATCCCCAAATCCTAGGGTTCCTCCACAAACTAATTACTTTACTTGGCAGGCCCAGGTTCTTCATCCACATCAAAGACGTTCTACATCCCCAATCAATTGAAATTTTTGCAGTTCAAATTTCGTCCCAAATCAGTCGTGAACCCTCGATTTATTCCCCAAGTCAATTTCTATAACTGTCAGATGGAAAGTTTTCATCATCATCACAGTATTTCGAAGACGGGGTCTGTCATTTTGACAATATGATGAGATTTACGTTTGAAGAACAAGTATGGATGTGTTGTAGCTGGTAGGTGGTTTATGGTGTCTGGGAGTGCCGATTCTGAAATGTACGGTGTTCATATCTTTGATTGATCATTAAAGTTTAAAATGTCGAGTTTTGATCACTAAATTTAGGTCTATGTCTTCGATTTCTCACTAAAATTTAAAAATTGAATTTTGGCCATTGAATTTTGAAAAATATTGTAAATTACTCACTAAACTTTAAAAAATATTGTACATTTCACTGAATTTTGAAAAATACTGTACATTATTCACTGTAAACTCGATATTTTTCAGTATTCAACGGTTATACTAGTGAGTAACGTACGGTATATTTCAAAGATCAATGATCAAAATTCGACATTTTAAATTTCAGTAAACAATTTAAGACATGAACCTAAGTTCAGTGAGTAATCGAAGACATTGACCTAAATTCAGTGATCAAAACTCGATATTTTAAATTTCATTGATCAATCAAAGACATAGGCTAAAATTTAGTGACCATTGGAACGATTAACCCTATTTGAGTAGTATTAGTGTAAAGGCTTTGCTAGAGGTACATAATTTTTGTATATAAGGGTGTCTACACCTCTCACACGGGCCTTATGACACGTGTCCTTTTCATGAAAAATAATGCTATGTAACCTCATTGAGATTATAACGTTAGTCTAAATGACGTTAATGCGACATTAAATAATCAATTAAATTAAATTTCACCCATTATTCTGTAACGTCTCAATTTTCTATAAACTCTGGAACGTTATAAAAATAAAATTCTTTATTAAACAAATAACTGCAACATTTAATAATCTAAATTAAAAACATGAAAATTGTATCTAAACATAACATAAACTCGTGACTAATTCAAATAACATGTTTGGAACAAAATTAAACTAATTGGTAAATATAAAGATGACAACATATTTCTTTTTCTTTTCATTTGATCTACTTAGCAGCTAGCATCACCATTTCACACCGTTCCAATCGACTCGAACTAATCTGTAAAAATTTGTAAGAGTGAGTATTCAGAAACACCCAATAAGATACGTGCAGTTTCCATATACAGATACATAGCAATAAAAATTACAATTCATACAATTTGATCTTATGGAGTATATCGGTGATCAAACGACACACCCATCTTCGGTTCTCTTATAATCCCGTATGATTTAATATCTCTTTTAAAAAAAACGAATGTCTACTGACAATCCATGCATTTTTATTGAACATAAACGCATAAGGAAACAAAAACACGTACACCTAAAGTATCTTACCACGTTTATTTAAGAGTTGCAAAATAGTTTCTTGTCTTTTAGTTCGCAAAAGTACTCTCTCTCTCTCTCTCTCTCTCTCTCTATTTTAGCTATCTAAATAGGATGCTAGCTATCAAATCAATTTCAAAATAAATTAATATTAATCTAAAAAATAAAATTCAATTCCCACTTTACACGTTTTTGGAGAGCGAAAATGAATTGATTTATAAATAGGATAAAATTCTATTTATCATATTTTCTTTCAATTGGGTCTAACTTAATGCGTTCTTATCCAAAAGAACTTTTTCTCGAGTCAAAGACTTCTAATTAATTACGAGCTATCCATCGAGTACAATATTGATATACTTATAATTGCTATATCAAAATCTAATTTATTTGACCTAGATAAAATGGGAATTATATAGTATACAAAATAAATAATTTTTTTATCTATAAATTTTATTTTATTTTTTGGATTGCAACAATCTACCCTCCTTAAGAGAATTTCGTCCTCGAAATTTACCTGCGTTAGGATCTTTCGTGGCCTGTCCTTGGGCTAAAGTAAAAACTCTGGCATTTTCCTTCTTTTCTGACTTTTCTTTCTTCTTCAAAAGCTCCTCTTTGCAGTTTTTGAAAATATGCTCGATTTTACCGCATCTATAGCACACATGCTTTCCATACAGACATTCATCCCTATTCATTTTCTTGCACTTTGGACAAGGTAGGACGACTTGTCCAAGACCTGGTTCGAAATTAGCCTTCTTGTTTGGTCCTTCTCCTTTCTCTTCGTTGGACTCATTCCATTTCCTCTTTCCTGAAGACTTGGCCCCTTGCCGGGGAGTTTGGTCTATTTTCAACCTATTTGAGATTGTTTGGGCAGTCTGCAATATTCGGCTATAGGTGGTAAATTGGTGGGATGTCAGTATTCCACCAATCTCAGGATCCAATCCCAGATCGAACCTCCTTGCTTTCTTTGCTTTAGTGTCCGCTAAGTGTGGTACATACCTTAATAGTTGTTCGAATTTTCTCTCATAATCCTCAAACTTCATTTTTCCCTATTTAAGTTGAAGGAATTCTGTCTCCTTTTGATCTCTCAGACCTTGGGAAAAGTATTTTCCCATCACTTCGTCCTTAAATTGTATCCACGTCAGAGTACGTTGTTGTGCTTCTGTTCTAGTGTGAGATGCTGACTCCCACCAGTGGCCTACAATGTCAACCAACATGAATTCTGCACATAACACCTTTTGAGCATCAATGCAAGATAGATGTTTGAAGATTCCCTCCATTCCTCTTATCCATTCTTCGGCTGCTAGTGGGTCTGCCTTGCCATCGAATGTTGGGGATTTGTAGCGACGGAACTGTTCCACAATTGAGTTGATGTTGTTAGCGTTTGCACCATGGGGACCAGCCTGTGCTTGTTGCCTACCTAAGTCTTGTAACGCCCTTAGCAAATCCCTGATGATCGTAGCTTGATTTTGTTGTTGTCTCAATATTTTCTTAACACAAATAAAATTTTCATTTAGGAATATTTAATAAAACAACCTAATATTATTAATAATCTTTGTAATAACGAAGAACTTTAAAAATATAAATTTCCAAATTCTTACATATAGTAATGTGCTCTTCAAAATCAAATATATAATTAAACAATTAAACTTTTCCTAAGTAAATAAATAACACTTATTTCTAATCCCTGTGAGTCCTAGAAAAAATCTTCTTTTATGGCATCTCATCATCCGAAGTAATGCATGACTCTGACTCGGAATCTGCAACTAAATCAACAAAATTTTGTGGTTAGATTTCTTGCTCGGAATCTTTCGGCTCTGGTTTGATATCTTCCTTTGGGTCCTCTTTCGGCCCCTCTTCCGAGTCCTCCTCTGGCTCTGGTTCGGGTTCGGGCGCTGGTGTT